AGCAGACAAGAGGTAAAAAAAAAACAAAAAAAAAAAACCACTCCTAATAAGGATGATGATAAAAGGGGAAGACTCACTCAGTAGCGACCATTACGACAGGGCCTGTGCTACGAGCTTTCCAAGCTTGGTCTCAATGAATCCTCACACAAACCCATGACACAGGGATCATCATTATCTCATTTTACAGTCCAGAACTTGAGACTCAGAAAGGTCAAGTAGCTTTCCCAAGGTCACACAGCTAGTAAGTGGCTGAGCTGGGATCGAATCTGGGCCATCTGACTTGAGCCCATGCTGTTAAGACCAGCATGCCTGCCTCTCCAGGGGCTGCGGGTCATTTCACTAAGTGAATTGGGCGGGTGGCCACTGAGGTGACTCTGAGAGCTTCCTAATTGGCGCTGCCACCACTCAGCAGCCACCAATAACTGCCATGTGAAAATGCACATCCAGTGTTGCCAGACCTACCAACTTCTCAAGAGAAATCAGAAATCTGGATTTCTATGTGAAATCTTCCAGGTTTTAAACATTGGCAATTGGTTCTGAGGTTGGTTTTAAAACCGCATATAATAGAGACTAAAGAGATTTCACAGCCAGATGCAATGAGCCTTGACTGATCCTGGTTTTAAACACCAAACTTTTTTTTTGAGGTTTTTGTTTATTTTCAGAGAAAGGGGGAGGGAGGGTGCAGGGAGGGACAGAAACATCAATGTGTGAAGGAAACATGAATTGGTTGCCTCTTGTATGCCCCCAACTGAGGACCTGGCCCACAACCCAGGCATGTGCCCTGACTGGAATTGAACCAGCGACTCTTTGGTTCGCAGGCTCAGTCCACTCTGCCACACCAGCCAGGGCTGAAACACCAAACTTTTAAAAGACATTATTTTCTATGGGAAATATTTAATATGATTGGACATTTGATGATATTATGGATTTCTTGTTGTTTTTCTTGGATGTGATACCAGAATTGTGTTATGTGGGAGAATGTTCTTAGAAGATCCATGCTGAAGTATTTAGGGACAGAGTGCCATGCCTGCAATTCCTTTTCAAATGCTTCAGCCATAAAACAAAGAAAAAGGGTGGGGGCTGGGAGAGAGGGAAGAAAGGAATATTCGCAGAAAGAGAGAGAGAGAGCAATAAAGCAAATATGACAAAATACTAATAACTGCAATCTAAATTAGCAGTTCTCAGCTGGGGATGACTCTGCCCCTAGACGACATCTGGCTACATCTGAGGACATTTTTATTGTCATGACTGGGTTGTGCGGTGGGTGCCACTGGCACCTAGTGAGTAGAGTCCAAGGACACTGCTGGACGTCCTGCAGCACACAGAACAGGCCCCACAACAAAGAACTATCAGGCCTCAAAAGGCAATTGTGCCGAGAGTAAGAAACTCTGGCCTAAAGAATTCACTTCATTTTGATTATTCTTTCAAGTTTTTGTATGTTTAAAATGTTTGACAATGAAAAAAATTAAACACTTAAAATAAAACTATATAACTCTTACAAATACCTTGCAGACCAAACAAAACATGTCTGCGTGGTTGAATAACCATAGCTGGCCATTTGCAGTCACTTTTCCCTATACATAGTGGCTGAACGTAACTGCTGCTACAGCTGCTGAATGAGCATCTGTACAGTTCTTACATCAAGTACAAGGCCTCCCCTTCTGAAATTACTGTCTTTTTCCTACTTTCAGTCCTAATCAGCCCAGAAGGGAGCAGGCAATATGCCCAGGCCTATGAGCCTAAAAACTGACATCACAGACGCCTTTTGGGGGACGGGGCGGGGGACACACACACACACACTGGTCACCAGGAACAGTCTGTGACACAGGAGCAGTGATGACGCGCTTTACATCTTTGAAGGGCAGGTACTTTCAGATAAGATGAAAACAAACCCCCCATCTCAGAGACCCTCATAGCCCAAGACAAAATAAATTAAGAGGCTGTGGCCAGCACATTAATTTCACCCGGAAGCCACAAGCTAGCCTCTCTGATGCCAAACTTAGAGTGTCGGCCACACCTCAGCATCCCTGAGCTCCTCTAGACTCATGAGCCCATTGCTATCCTGGGACTGAAAATGATTTCCTGCATATGTGGCCCACGGTGCATTTGGTGGGGACTTGGGGCAGCCCCAACACCACGGAAATACACACCAAGACTCCGTAAGTGCAGAAAACAAGCACCAGAAGGCAAATGAGAGTCACCTTGGATTGATTCATCCATCCCCCAGCACTGCAAAATATTCCCAAACCCAAGAACAGTCTTTCTCAAAGTGTGGACCACTTATTAGCAGCCATTCAGGGAGACTGTTAAATGCAGATTGTGTGGTCCACCCCAGACCTCATGATTCAGAATCTCTCTGGGTAGAACTCAAGAATGTGCATTTTAAGAAGCTCCCCCAAACTCTGATGCTGACTGCCTCCGAAAACATTTGTCCCAGGAACAGTGGAAACCAAGGGTCTCAATATTGCACAATTTTCTGTGTGACCTTGAGCAAGCCACCCAACCTTGTAAGTGGGAATTAAAATAGCACCTGTCTCATAGGGTAGTTGTGAGAAATGTTTACATGCACACACGCACGCACACGCACTCTAGTGTAGTGCCTGACACCCAGAACTGTGCTGGGCAAATGTTACTTCCTTTTCCTTAGTGGTGATTGACTGAATATTGTAAAGCCTGTAGAGTTTTACAAATGTGCAGACATCCAGGCCCTTCCCCTAAAGATTTTCATTTAGTCTAGGGTAAGGTCCAGGATGGGGAGCTGTTATTTTTTAAACAGCATTCCCAGTGATCCTAAACAGCAGCCAGGGTTGAAAACCATACTTAGAGAGCTGCCAGGAAAAAAAAAAATCAACTTTTCTTTTTCTTCAGGTGTATGCACCTGCACTTCATTCTAGAATTCCCAAAAGATATTCAAGGAGATCCTGTATTGAGCTTGTCACAGAGGACTGGGTACCCCTAGATTCCACCTCCCAGCAGACCTTTCCTGTTACCAGCAGAAGAATGTGGCAGCAACCTGCTGAGCTGGAGTGATTTTTTTTTCCTCCTCTAACAGCTGTAAGGAGGCAGGACCAGGAAGTTGAGTCCCTGCTGGGCCCTAGGGTACCTAGTGGAGTGCTCTATCAACAGGAAAAACCAGATCGAAGAGGGCCTGAACCACCACTTTCTCCCATAGGTGCCCAAAGGTTAGTTCTTCTCCTACCTTCCCTCCTCACTGCTCCCTCCCCACCAACCTCTTTCCCCCAAACCCCAAAGCTGAGGAGGGTTCCTTTAAGCGTTAGTTTGCAAGGAAAGTGCTAGGTGAAGGTTTCAGCGGAAGAATTAACCCAATCTGCAAGGCAGCCTACCTATCCCAGGGTGAATCTCTCCCTACCAAGGCGACAGCGGCTGCGCTGCCGCAGTCCTGCTTCCGTATCTCACCCTCACCTTAACACGGACCCCGGGAATCCATAGAGATGGTGGGCACTGCGGGGGAGTGAAACCACCCGCCCTGCCCAGTGGGGCTGGTTACCCGGCACCCTGGGAAGGGAGGGGTGCGTTGCAGGAGGTGGGCGTGGCCAGCTCTTTACTCTTTAAGTAGATCCTGCCCTCGGAACTCAAGACTTCACCATCATCCACACCTCCCTGCTGACCCAAACCGGGGGAACTTCCTCACCTCTTCCCCCCTCCAAAGCCCTCACCTCTGGACGAAAAGAAGTCATCGGATACTGCATATAAATAGAAAATAATTACTAGTGAGGTGGTGATGTACCTTCGCCTATTTTTGCTGGAGCTCTTTGTTCAGATTTTTTTAGGCAGGCTTCCTGAACGTGTACATACACAGGCCCCAGCGGAGGTGTTGGGTGTGCGCACGCGTGTGTGTGTGTGTGTGTGTGTGTGTGCGCGCGCGCGCGGGCGCGCGCGCCTGTGTGTAGGGGGAACACATGGCAACTCCGTTACCGGTACTCAAAAAGAGGATAAAGCGTGCGCCCCAGCCATCCAACAGTTCCGCAAGTCGCCTGTCGTTCTTCAACCCCACCTGCCCGGACCTCACACCAACCCGGGCCTCTCCCGGGTAGGGGTCTGCGTCCTCGCCGCTGCGTCCTCGCCTCCAAAGTTACTGGGTTGTGCGAATCAATTTAGACACTTAAAGAAAAAAAAGCAAAAGGCAAATAGCTCCATTAATCCCCAAATGCCTTCTTCCATCTGCTGCCACTTCCTCGTGCTGGGACTTGCATAATGAATGAGGCAAAAGGAAAAGTTGGCGAATCAGGGTGTGGGGGGAGCGGTTGGTGGCGCGCGGGGAGGGGGCTCAGGCCTTTGAAGTCCTTGCCAGCTCAGGCAAGGGGCGCAGAGAGAGATGGTGACCGAGGAAAGGAGCCAGGGAGTCGGCGGCGGGGTGGAGGGGGGTGGTGTGCGTAAGGTAAGGGGACTGAGGCAGCCGAGTTCCTGATTCCAAGGACCTGGCAGCTCAGGGAAGGCGAGGCGGCCGCTCCAAACAAGGCTTTTGTTCTCGCCCTCCCCTGGCTCTCCACCTCCCTCGCCTCCTTTTCGCAAACCGTACGAGTTGCAGGCGGCACACACTCCTTTCCCTCCCTCCATCCATCACACACGCGCGCTCGGACTCACACACACCCCCTTCCCTTTCTGGCCCGTCCTCCGGCCCCAGTTAGCCTAGACTACAATCTGGAATCCAAGGGGTGGACCCCTCCCTAAAACCCAAGACTTCGGGGCCACGGTCTCCCAGCTGCGTGCCTCAAGTCCCCTTCAATCTTCGGCGCGGGGAGGGGGAACGGCAAGAGGGCAAGAGAAGGGAGAGACCCTCCACGCACACACACATACACACAGTCATATCCACACCTGTGCAGAGGCCAGGGCCCCCTCTTTGAACCTAAGTTGGCTTCCCAATGACATCCCCCAGCAGAGAGACTGGAGTGGCGGGGGGAGGGGGAAGCCATTGCCTGGGGAAGGTGGAGAGGGAAGAAGAGAGCAGCACCCTGGGGGGGGGGGGGGGGGCAGCCCACCTGGACATGTGTTCCCTTTGGGGCCGGTGCGCTTTCTCCAGTCCCAGCTTGGTGAAGATGCCTACAAGCACCATGACGGCCACCACCCCGCAGATGATGTAAACGATCAGGTTGGTCTTGTCCTTGGTGGGGTCGTGCAGCGGGTCGTCCTTGCGCGCGGGGGGCTTGCCGGTGTTCAGCCAGAGTGGAGTGTCGTAGTTGGTGCAGGTGCTCTGGTTCAGGCGCCGCTTCTTAAACGTGCAGCAGAACCGGAAGCCACAAGTCCCGCAGCAGAAGATGAAGTCGCCCGAGCTGCAGTTGAACGGCGGGTCCCACTGGCCCATGACATCGAAGTAGCCCCGGCAGAAGTCCGGCGTGGGCGCCCGGGTCGGGGGTGCGTCCGAGACCCCCGCGCCCTCGCCGACCTCCCCGGAGGCTGCCCCAGAGCGGTTGCCCCCAGTCAGCACCACCACGCCGCCCAGCTGCGCCAGCTGCTCTTGCCCCGCTCGCTCCTGCGCCCGGCACACGCGGGCGCAGAGCTCGGTGAGAAAGCAGCCGAGCAGCAGCCGGAGAACGCGGCGCATCGTGTCTCCCAGCCCGGGCTCGGCTGCTCGGCCGCTGCTGGAGCCTCTGCAGCCGCCTCTCGAAGCGCGGCCGAAGCTGCCGAGGCTGCTGCCGGGGGCTGCGAGCCGCCGCGGGCCGCACATGCAGGGAGCGGCACGGGGCGCTCGGTGGTCGGCGGCCACGGCGCTCGGCTCAGCCCGCGTTCGCCTCCAGCGCGCCGCGCGCCTAGGGGCTGGCCGGGGAGGAGCGCGCGGGGCTGGGCGGGGGGAGGATGAGTGGGGGCAAGCGCAGGGTGCAGGTCCGGCTGGCTACAAGGCGAGGCGGGGGCCGGAGAGGAAGGGAGAGTCGGTCTGTCCGCGCCACTCCTCGGCCGGCGGCTCCGGACTCGCCGCCCCGCACTCGCTCGCAGGATCTCTCTCACCTCTTCAGCTTGCCAAGTGCGCTGGAGAGAGCGGAGCGACACTTGTGGAATGAAGGGAGGGCAAGAGAGAAGGGGGAGGGGGAGGAGGGCGGGCAGAGGAGGCGCTGGGTTGGGGGGGCGGGCGCGAGCTCGAGAGGGGCGGGGGCGCGGGAGAGGTGACTCGGGCGGGCGGGAGCGAGTTGGGGGGCGTGCAGAACAGAGCGAGGCTGGCGAGCCGGGAGGAGGGAGCTTTGCAGCCGCCGAAGGAACAGCTCGGATTTCCCGGCAGGTGGAGGACGGCAGCGGGACCTCCCGCGCCCTCTCTGGGCTGGAGGCGCGGCTCAGACCTGTTCCCGGAGCAGAGGCGGCTCCGCCCGCTGCTTTTTCAGGGGGGCGGGCTCAAGATCTGCGGCTTTACTCTGTCCCACAGGGAAAGGGTGACTCGGAGGGGATAAGGACAGACTAGTTGGCTTACACTCCAACACAAATTGCAGCTCAGTCTGATGAGGATCGCCCCTCCCAGGTGCAAAGGGCCGCTTGCCTTTCATGCTCCAGCCAAACACGCCACCCGGATGGCTCAACTCTTTGGGCCAAGGAGAAGACCAAAGCTGAACTGGGAAGACGGGGTGGGAAGCCCTGGGCCCAGGGTCAGCATCCCCGGAGAGGGGCTTGGGCTGGACTAAGGTCCAAGAGGCGCAGGGGGTAAGGAGAGGCAACCGAAAAGGACGAGGTATGTCTCGGATGGTCTTTCCCTGGGACTCTCTCAGGCCCCGGACTTGCCACTTTAATGTCCCTCTTCACCCTCGCAGCGTTCCCTGCGCTCCACTGGAGGGCACACCGCGGCGCCGCCTCTGCGTGCCCAAATCTGGTGCAGTGCAAGGCCTGAGCGCTCGATCTCAGCCGCCCTCCCGGACCTGGAGCCCGCGCATCGGTCGCCAGACTCCCTGCTGGTCCGTGTTCCCTCCAAGTCCCCACATCACCCCACCCCCGGCCATCCTCACCCGGGGCTGCGGAGCTGGCCTTGCTTCCTCGGCTTCCAGCCTTGCGTCGCCCTCTCTCAACTCAGCCGATTCCAGTCATCCTTCAGCCCTCTCCCATTTCTCCCACTTCTTCCTCTCCTCTGCTTGAATTTGACTCCAGTAGCCCCCGAAACAGGATTTGTGCCGAAGCTGCTACACCAAATTTAGATTTCCACACGCCCCTGCTTTTTGTTTTTTAATTGCATTAACTAAGTATACACTTTGCAGTCAGCTGGGCTGTTTGCAGTGGTAAGATGTATCCGCCACTCTCCTTTCCATTTGGCTGCCGGCAGTCAAGCTCCTCTCAGGGCATTTTTCAAGGAACCAAAAAGCTGGACCAGTGTAATGACATACTGGGGTCCCCTTAAATGAAAAAGCAAGAGGATGTATTGGGGCTCTACCTCAAGTTTTCTTCAAAATGAGATCTAATATTGCCTTCTCTTTGAAGAAATATCACCTACTTTCTTCCCAAAGACTTGCAAAGAATGACGCTGTTCCAGCAAAAGCACACCAGGGCAACATTGACAGAGCATATCCAGGAATTTATCAGTCCTGGAAGACTCCCAAACCCACCTGGACAAGCTGTGAGACTGTGAGTCTAACTTCATGGGATTCATCATAATGAGGTCCCTAAAATAAAACAGTGTGACATGTCTTTGGACCCACACCCACCGCCAATCGCGACACACACACAGCTCTGCTATGCGAGAGCTAATGATAGCTGACATTTATTCAGTGCTTGTGACATACCCGCTAAGCTTGCTCCTCACAGATGCTTAGAGCAGGACCTAGCACTTAACAGACAGTCTGTGAATATTTGCTGAACCATTGAGTGACAGATCTCATTGAACTCCATCCGTTAGGTAATATAACCAGGTCCACACAACAGAAGGAGAGACTGAGGCCCAAAGCAATTAAACCAGTTGCTCAGCTCAGCAAGAAAGTGTGCAGTTAGTTGGCTTTTGACCCAAGAAATTGGGCTCGTGGGCTTGTGTTCTAACCACTGAAAAATAGGCCTCCAGACTCCATCCACCTGACATTACATGATGCTTTTATTCTTTCTGTCTCCCCACATTGAAATGTAACTTGCTGACAGAATGACCCCAACTCCCATAGAGTCCCCCAGCATCTAGAACACAGGGAAGCACTCACAAAAAAAACTATGGGCTGATTTAATTATCTAAGATTTTTTTAATACAAGACCTTGTCTTAAACCAAGAAAAAAAGGAACACAAGGTAGGGAAGGAGGAGAGAGTTTCTGCCGCATGACACCTGCAGAGGGGCTGGCATATTTCTACATACTACATGAGAATTGGGAAAAGCTGCCCCCGCAGGCTTATTAAAGCCCGAAAGCTGAGGCTTGGAAAGGTTAAGGGCTTTGTCCAAGGTCACAAGGCCCGCAAATGGGAAAGCCAGGGCGGGATGCAGACCTCCAGACTTCTGGTCTCCAGTCTTCTGGGCCCCCGCCCTGGGTGCTTCCCAACCTGCATCAGGACTGACAGAGAAGGGCAAGAACCTGGCAGAAGCATAGGTCACAGATACCTTCCCTCAAGAGTTGGGGTTTTAAGGAATTTATAGATTTGATTTAAAAAAAAAAAAAACTATAATGGAATCCAGTCTCTGTAAAATATTGCCTGTCACCTGAACATCTGAGTGAGCTGGGTCCCCGGAGGAGACTGGCTTAGGCTGCCGCTCCCCACTTTAATTAACAGAGACTGCCCTCTGTTTGTGACAAAGGGAGTGCAGGATCCTGCTTTGGGGAGAAGCCGACCAGACCCACCCTGCACTCTTTGCCAGATTCCAAACCTTAAGCCTCCTATTCCTTAAGCTTTGCCCAAATCAAATTCCCTCTGGTCGTGCCTATCGTCAATGCCATTGTCCTCTGGACTATTGCCAGAGCCTGTTTCCCAAACATCTGAAAATTAGAGGTGGGCGGAATCATCTTGGTTCATTTTACTCTTCAGAAGAAAAACGTTGATGTTCTCTGGATATTTCCAGTCAGCAAATAGTCACTGTCTCTTAATAGATGTGTGATTATTGGAGACATACCCCCATCTGGAATATCTTTCAGGGCTCCTGGCAGTAGGAAGAGGGATCAGTGGGGAGTAATACTATAGAAACAGCTGGCCAGTTCATGGAAGATGAAAAATCATCATCAAATGCCACCCCCCACCACTACCCAAATGAATTCATGCAAATGAAATTAACATGCAGCTCTTAATGAACGTGCTTTCTAAGAAAGTGATGATGACATTATTATTTACAACATGGGCACTTTTAATATCCAAAGAAGAACCTCATTTGCTCTAGCCTTAATTATGGCAGATTACAGTGCCTGTTACGAAGAGAATGCAACTGTACTCCCCAGCAGTTAGGGGACAGAGCCATGTGACAAAGGATATGTTCTAATGCTTGCCAGGAGTGGCAACCAATGTCCACAAGCAACTCAACAAATTAGATTACTTGTGCTGTGACCCTCAAAATCATCCTCATGAGGTGGCTTTCAGGGTTTCGGAGAGGTTTCTAAGACACTGTTAGCCCTGAGGGGAGAAAAAAAATGAAACAGAAGCTGTTGATTTAAAACTTTAGAAGCTTCCTGGGTAAAATCTGAAATTGGCCCCAACCACAGACAATAAGGAGAGATAGAAGAACGGTAGGTGGCAGGTTTAACAAGCAAGGGAACTTACCTATGAGGCTTGTCTTGGGTGCCATAAAATGAGATCTTCACACCTGCCCATGTACCATCCGGATTGGTCTCAACCACACCGACTCTCTCAAGGCTACAGCTTTGAGGGCACAAGAACAGTGGGCAGAATGGACATTTCAAGGATGGGGGCTGCTGAGTAGCCTCCCATCGTCTGGGTCTAGCTCAGGGGGCAACCTCTGATCACGTCTTCTCAATGACTTCCTCTAACAAAAGCCTAAATGTAGCTAGCACCTTGCCAAGTTCAAGCAACACTGTCATTTGATATATTTTATTCTCTTGCTCTGAACAGATAAGGGAAGCCTTATGGAAGAAGTGAAGTGAGTCTAAAGTATAGATCCCCTAGATGGAGGTGATAACGTGTGATGATTTCTGGTGGCACCCCAAGAAATATCTTTTAATAGTTTTATATTTATTTCAATCCGTATCAAAAAAAATAACAATGTCCAACACATGGCTTCACAGGCATGAGTTCTTAAAGTATAGTTAATCCCTCTAAGTTCATCAATTTAAAGTCAATTTGAAAAAATAATAACTACATCATAGTATTTGTTTATGAAATACAAGTGAAGGAATATGAAGGGTCTGGTCCTGAAAACTGAAATTTAGGAAGTGTGGGCTTTAGTATCAGAACAAGGGTTCTGAGCTTCAGCACTCATAACATTTTGGAGTGGATAATTCTTTGTTCTGGGAGCCCTCTTGTGCACTGCAGGATGTTTAGCAACTTCCTTGACCTCTACCCACTAAGATGCCAGTAGCGCCTCCCAGTTGTGACAACCAAAAACTGTTAACAAGCAGACATTGCCATTGTCCCTACAGTGGGGGGGATGGGGGGCATAATCAATTGAGAACCAGAGTCATGACTAGGTTTCAATACTGGCTCTTTGTCATCTGACTCAAACAATTCACTTC